GAAGAAAGAACTGGAGTCTCCAGGAGACAGAGAGGAGGCAGTGGCTGAAGGTTCTCCGGTGGGGTTGCTAAATAGGACCTCTTGTCAACAGAGGTACTTAATCATATCCTGACTGTAGCAAAGAATGTTCCTTTGTGGTTTGAGATCTCCCAAAACTAGGGTTGAATAGGTAGAGGTGGTGGACCAGAGGGTACACACACTACGCAGTGCCCACACACACAAAAAATCTCTTTTGCCTCTGGGCAGCACAAAAGAGTTGATTTGGTTTAGATGCCATTATAGGGGAAAGGAGGGATGAAGTCATGCTACTTTTCCCCCCAAATCAGACCAGCACCACTAGCATAATTTGTCAGTCAGTTGACTAAGAACAAGGCAAAAAGAACATTAGACTTACAAAGTATTTGGGTGTCAATGCCACCAGTTAGGACATCAGAGCTTTCTAGTACACTGTAAATGTCCATTGTCTGAGTTAAGAGGCTCAGCTCAGGAGTTAGGAAACACAGATGTGGATGGGCTTCTTGGTGGTTGGTTCTTAAACGGCTCAGAAGCTGAAACCATCCCCGGAGTTGGGGGATTACCTGAGTGACATCTACATTTATGGCCATGATTCCCATGTAAACCTGAACCTATCCTATAGAGACTAAGGAAGGAGTTTTTAACAGTTCAGAGTTCTGTCTTTTTGGAAGGCAGTCTTGTTTTTCCTATGTTAGGGTGACTAGGAAAAGGTTTAAATACAACCTAATGGTGGAAGTGTGAGTTGAAAAGAGCCTCGCAAGGATAAATGTTGATGCTAGCTGGAGTTCATTGGTGGGTAGAGCCACCTGGCTACTGCTGGCAAGTGGTAAGTTGAGGGTCAGAGGGCAGTATGGCTGCACGCATGGCTGTTTGGCTGGAGGGAGAAGGCAGGGTTCTAACTAGCTTGTCCCAAACCAGGGGGCAGCGCAGGAGTGTTCTCTTTCCAGATTCTGCCCGCAATACGCCTCTAGTCATCTTATCTGGAAAACTTCTCCTTCAGTATTCTTAGTTGCACGATCTCGAAATAATAAGTGTGCTCAGGTCTCAAACACATATGGCACGCTTCACTTTCACCTAACTGAATGGAATGGAGTCACTTTCTGAGAAGTATGCTTCGTTCCTTGTCTTAACAAGCTCTTCCTGCAGGAGGCAGCACTAAGTTGAGTACTGTTGTAACTGGAAACTAAATAGCCTTCATTCCTCTTGAGAACTTGAGTGAGGAACAAATGAGGACTCAAAGGGCTTCCCTTAACAATTGGCTTCCTGTGTTTTGGCCTCGGAACAATTGGGGGAAGGAGGGATTCCTCTCCACCTTGGCCATAGGGTCTCCTTCCCTACTCTCCCTGCAGGATACAGTCAAGTCACACTCCTTCAAGAAAACTTCATCTTTAGGGGTCGTACTTTCCCCCATTAATCTGCAGTTTCTTTACCTTCTCATGCTGATTTAATCTGCTGCAGATGAGGAGGGAGGCTTTGTTCTAGTTATTTTCAGAAACCGAGGTGTCTGCTGCCTGTCACTGGGGTGCTGGTTTTTCCACACAGGATTAATTGTCCCACAGCAAGGAACACATGTCCTCTGCTCAGGGGGGCAGGGAGGGCTGACCACGCTAAATTCTGAGCCTTATTTTGAGGAGGCCAGGTTTCTGATGTCAGCAATGAAAGCTGAATGCATAAAACAAGAATCACACACGGCCTCAGACCCTAAAGGTATATTACATCTGCTAGGTCAGCGCCTGGAAGGCTTGTTTTACCCACCGTTATATCTCCAGTGCCTAAAACAGTGCTTGCACATAGGCACTCAATAAAGAGCCCTTCTATAAATCAGAAAGTGCTATTAATCTTCTTTCATGCTTTTGTTCCCTCACCCTACCCCCAATTCTAAGTAACTCACCAAACATCTGAATGACTTCCTGCTGTAGTTCCCTTCACCTTTATCTTAACATCAATCATCTCTCACTGCCTTCTTCTAGTACCTCCAGCTAACATCCTAGGACCGCTCAGAATCTATAGCCCAGACCCCAATTCCATCCAATGTGGTGTAAAGAGCATGGGCTTTGGAACTGGACAGATAGAAGCTGGAATCCTAATTCTGACACGTATTAGCCATGCACATGTGTTAAATAGGAATAAAACCACCTACTTTTAAGGTATGGGGACCATAAGTAAGATTGTAGTAAAGTTCCAGATATACAGAAGCATTCAATTTTGTTTGGTTCAATAATCTAATCCTACGCTATCCAAATTTACCAGTACACCTCAGCCTCACATATCCTTACAAACACTAGATTCATTCCAGACACCATGCCTTTGCTGTTTCTCCTACAGCTTCCACATCCTTTGCACTCTTCAACTGATCCTGTCCAGCTGACCTGTCACACTCTCACTCCACTTATTTGCACTTAATCATGCCTCCTGGGATTATTTTTTTCTCAGGTGTTTGTCTTAAAATTCTCTTTTACTGCCTCAAGATCTAGCATGCTGGCATGGAAAAGAGGCTTAGCAGAGGCTTGTTAAATCAGAATGAGGTTGGATTTATCTGGAAGAGACCACTTGCTGGGTCTATTAATGAACCCAGCTTTTCCTGAAGTACTGGTTTTCTGACCATAGGCTTTCTTGGTTGGCCATGCGTCCTTGGGTCTTTCCTTGAGTCATTTCAGTGATGATAAATGTCACAGTAAAGGGTGCCAGTAAAAAGAAGGCCTCCACTGGAACCTTAGCCTGGCTACCTGGGAGCTGGAAGGATGCCCACAGCTGTGCCAACAGCAGCGAGGCTGGAAAATCACTGGCAGTTTAGGTCCTCGACTCCACTCACGCTCCCTGGAAACATTCCCCAAGGCTCTGTTTTTAGCCTTCTCGCAGTTTACTCTGTGCAACTCCTAAACTGCCGTTTCTTTGACCTCTCTTCTGGGTCACCCAGACCAGAAACCTTCCACATCACCAAGTGCTGTCAAGCCTCCTTTCCCAGTGTAGCTTATTCCCATTCATGTATGGAAAACATACATGATATTCCTCCAGCTAAGCTGCTCTCCTGGCCCTGTACCTTAGGCCATTCATGATCCAGGAAGGTCCTCCCTAAGTTAAAATCCTGTCGGTCCTATCAAGTCCCTGCACCTCTGTGAAGGATTGATTCCCTTAACTCGTGGCATCGACACAGCCTCCACACATTGGACAATCATGTACCATTTTATGACACTGCTGGGTGTCCTTTTACTGCTCATATACCTCCCATCTCCAGATCAGGTGGTAAGCTCCTTGGGAACACACATCATAGCTTAAACCATTTCTTTGTATTTTGTATTTGCCCGTGACTCTATCCCAGTTGTCATTGGGTTCCCCAACTGTAAAAACAGTGCTGTTGGTGATGCTAGACAGTGGGCAGGCCAAACTGATGGCTTCCTAGAGTATCTTTACAAAAGCTTTTAGACTCGGTAGTCTGGGATGTTAAATTGGACCACAGGAGGCTTATCTCCCCAAGATTTTAACTTCCTCAAGGAAAAGGACTGTCATAGGTCTTTGTCACTCCATGGCACCCAGCCAGAATGATGCTCCAAAAATACCTGGGTTTTCTGGAGGACACTTTTGTTCAGCGGGAAAGGCATACAACTTGTGAACAATCTTCTCATTGTCAGGGAAGCCAATTTTTTACCCGTCTCTTGGACTCTGAGATGTAGTACCAAGAAAGGGAATGATCTGATCGTGTAGACTTGTGAGCAAGACCTCTTACTGGTTGGATGTCAGGAGGGGAGAGATTCTTTCACAGGAAAGCTAAGGCATTGGGAAGGCTGATCTGACCTCTAACTTGATCTTAGTTGGAGCTTTAATTGTCTTTGCTCTGGTGGTGGCCCCTGCATAGTCTCACTTTCCATCTATATGAAGAGGGTGTGCTGTGTGCCTAGAGTCAACATGCCACCATGGCTGGGTCCTTCCACACACCATCACCAGGCACATCCATTCCAGCTGCCTTCACGGTCCTTGGGAGGGGAGGAGACTCCAACTCAGCTATAGAAAAGTACAGGCTAAGGACTTGAGCACTAAGGCCTGCTGCTCCCCAAACAGCAGACGGAAAAGTGCTATGAACCCAGTGTTTGTAAAGCCCATGTCAGCCACCGCCTCTTGGTCCAAGGCCATCCATCCCCAGTGCGTCCTATGATGAGACACACCTAGGGCTTCTTAGCAAAGACCTCTGCCTGGCATGCAAGGCCCTTAGAGATCTGGCCTTTTTGGGCCATTTATAAAAGCCATCCACACCCACAGAAGTTGTCTGCTTTGGACAAAGCAGGCAACTTGATGTCCTGTCCTTGTACACCCTGGATCTGCAAGACCTCCTGACCTCGGCAACACTGGGCCCCTGCCTCCCCCAGCCCACTCCTTCTCAGGCTCCAGCTGTAGCGTCACCTCCATGAAGCTTCCACCTGCATGGACGACTTGCTGGTAACCAATCCTATATATATGTAATCTCTTTAATGCTACTTTTCTTATGGGTAAATGTTAAGTTTCAGTGAAATCATCAAGGCAGACAGCTTGTCTCATGTTCGTATCCCCCATGACAGCTCACACGAAGGGCTCACTCAACAAACATCAGAGGCACAGCGATCAAAGAGACCCTACATTGGCCAAGACTCAGGCTCTTCCCTTTGACTCTCACGGGGAATGGAGCACAGAACGAAGGTGACCGACTGGTAACGTGACAGGTTTGGGGGGACAAAGCCCAGAAAAGCGGTGGCACCCACCACTGAAAGACAAGAGATGGAGAGTAGCACAGCTCAAACCCAGTACCGTCTCTCATTTACTAGTGTGTGATTTTAACTTCTGAGCCAGTCTTCTGAGCTGTAAAACGAGGATAACATTTGCTCTATTTATTTCACAGGATCAGCGTGAGAATCGAATGAGATAATGTATAGGAAAGTGCTTTACAAGCACCATACAGAGAGTAGTTGGCGTTAGTTATCCATATGGCGTTGAAAAGAGCTCAGACAGGGGCCGACTCTTGGCCCTAGAGCGAAGGTGGCTTTTATTTCCTCTGTTGGGGAAGGAGGGGTAGGGGGATTTCCCACGCATACCAACCTAAGGAAGGGGAGGGTGCGCCCCCAGAGGATGAGGCTGGAAGAGCCAGATGATCATTCAGAAGGGCTTCTCATGTCCACTTCTTGGCCCTGGGCTGCAGGGTGTGCTCTTGAGAGTCACTCCCCTTGGGGTGGCAGCTCCTGCATGAATGGAGGCACATGGAGGTATCTGCTGGTGTTCACGGAGAAGGGGGAGCAAGTGCCCTGAGTGAGGCAGCAGAGGACTGGGGTGGCTGAGCCCACCCCCAATCAACGCCTGCCCAGGTTGATAACTTTCATAAGGCCTGGCTGGTGTGATTCTTCTCCCGAGAAGGGCCAGAGGTACCCAGAGGCATTGTTCAATCCGATGGCTGGTCCTTTAAATGTCCATCTCAAATTGTGATTCTTCACCTGGGGAGAGAAAGGGCAGAGGGTCGGGTGAGCAATGGGCAAGGGGTAGGGCTGACATTTTAGAGGCCAGGGAACGGTGTTGTCATTCTGTTGTTCCTACAAGAAGAGCAGGGGCCAGGTTGAAGTTGCTATGGAGAAGGGAAGGCGGGCAGGACTACAGTAGGTATCCCTGGAAGCACAGGCCTGAAGGTGTCGTGTCCAGCTCGGCTCTCTTCCCCAATTCCAAAGGAAGAGCTGAGACCAGGTGTCCCACAGGAGAGGTGACAGTCCCGAATTTTGTAAAATGTTTAATAAGGGTAGATGGTTACTTATGAATTGTCATAAACACAACTTCACAGAAAAATATTCCTTGAACATAGAACTTTTTTGAGCACGTGCCCTAACTTCTGGTTAAGAAAATGATACCGGGGCCGGCCGAGTGGCGCGATGGTTAAGAACTCGCTTGGGATGCCAGAGGGCCCCGGTTCGGATCCCACATATGAGGGCCAGTGACACTGCCCTCCACAGCTAAGATGCTGAACAACAGCTCAACCTGGAGCTGGGCTGCCATGAGTCGCCGGCGACGGCGTGGGCTGCAGTCCCTGTGGCAGTGGGTCGCCATGGGCTACCGTGTGTAGCCAGCAGCCAGTGTGAGCGGCCAGCAGCCGCAGTGAATGGCCATCCAGAAGCCAGTGACTGATCTGCCTCGCCCGGGAAGAGCGCAATGATGGTGCCAACTTGGGCCAGTGAAGCAACATCCTCCACAACTAGATTGAAGAACAAAACGACAGCAACTTGTCTGTTCCCCTTTCCCCAATTCCCCAGCACTGTTCCCACCCCCCCAATTCCCCAATAAAAGTCTTTAAAAAAAAAAAAAAAAAGAAAGAAAATGATACCATATCCCTACAGGGCATACATCCGATTGCCCATGGAATAGCCTGACCCCATGGTAAAGCAGTTATTTGGGTAATTCGGCCACTCGCTGCCCTTGCCCCACTCTTTCCACTAAGATTTCCAAGTCATCATGTTGCAGCAGGTTGTTTTTCTTTTTAATGGAACTGCCTCACTCATGATCTCTTGGGCAACGCTGCCCAGTGTTCTATAGAGCAAGATGCCTGCTCTGGCCCCACAGGGAAACAACTGGCCTCTTCTAGTTATATTTATAAAATATGTAGGTCCAAGGCCAGGAGCCTTGGCTTCTTACATCCAGTTACGTGAAGCAGAAGGAAAAATGAGGTCCCTCCCTCACCACACCCCATCAGAGCAACTATATGAAATGACTCCATCCTTGAACACACAGCAGGTAACCCCACTGCCTGGTGCCGTCCTTATTGCTCTGTGTGTGTGCCCGAGTTCACTTCCCCGTCCTCCAAGTCTGAAAGGCAAGGCAACTGTTGCCTGTCTTGGGCTGTGGGTTCCCAAGGTAATTATGAATCATGTCCTGCAGGCCCCTGGTAGATGGATTCTGCTGCTGTCAGCAGCACCAGCCCAGCCCAAGGTCCCAGCTGCTTCCTGTCTGGCATGTTGTACTGCTTTCTGGGTGAAGGGTCAGTGGGTTCCAGGCTAAGTCAGTTTGTTTGCAAGTGCTTACACTGCATCCTCCTGCAGGGGGAGAGCTCAGACGCTCTGGCAAGCCAGTCATGATGCCACAAAGAATGCATTCACACACACCTCTGCCTGGGGTGCTGCTCTGATTACTTGGTAGCGGGGGACCAGGAAGGACCTAGCTACCCCATGGCAAACCTGCAGAAACAACTGCCTGCACTGTTTCTACCTGTCTTTATCAGGAATCCACTAGTGGGCCAACACCCTGACTGACAGCATCCTGGATGCCTTTTTTGGCCTATAGACGTGTGATTTCCTAGAGGGCAAGTACATTATGTCTTTGATAAGTTGTCTCCTGCACAAGAACATCTCGGGTATTTCCCAAGTATTGCAGATACGTGGCAATGCTTCAGGGATTGTTATGTAAAAGGGGCACACAGAAAGTTGCTATGTGAAGCCCCTCTCATCTCAAACAAAACTCCCCAGTAATTAGATTACCCGGTGAGGCCAAATCACCTTTCCTAGGGTTATTGGGCCCCTTTCATGGGGTCCAAAGTTGGTACTGGTGGAAGTTCTCCCCACCTCCCGTCCTGACCTCCCACCCTCAGGACTCTGAGATGCTCCACAGAGGATAAAGCAGTTAACATCATTCCCTCCCTGGAATTCCCCCTAATGCATGGGACCTTCAGGTTACAAACATTCCCGTCCCAAGGGAGAGCCTGGCCAAACCCTGCCACTTACCACCTGCAGGCTTATCTTCCGGGCTGTTGCGCAGGTGGTTCTGGCTGGCTTCTGTGGGGGGCTCATTGCTGGCAGGGCTCGTGACCCCGGGAATGGTGGGCAGGTCTCTCGGGGGTGTTTTGGTCACAGGTGAGTTCCGACACTCCATGAGGAACTTCCGGTCGTAGATGATCCTAGTACCTGGAAAGGAAGAGAGATATTGGTAAAGCCATCTTGAATCCCCTGCCCACTCATTTTTCCACTTCTTTGAGACATGGCTGCAGCAGAGGCAGCAGGTTTCCCTGTAAGAGCCGGACCAAGGTGGAGCGAGTGTTATTCAGGTGCCTGGCTGCAGCCCAGGGCTCTGCTGCCACCAAACTGCCCTGACTCCCCATTACGAGGGGTGCTCTGATGGAAGAAGGGGCCCACTGGCCATCTTCTGTGTCCTTTCTCCCCGCAGAGCTCTGCACACGCTGTGCTCTCTCCTTAAAGCCCACCAACTCACTTAACCTAACTGGTGCTCACTGTTATTACTTGTGACAATCATATCCTACAGTGGAGAAAGTATGTTTTTCAACTCATTTCTCAATTCCATCCTTATAATACCCTCATGGGATATCCAGAATCTTTAACTCCATTTTACAACTGAGCAGACAGAATATTAAGTGGGTCCCCAAATAGTAAAAATGAGAATTTTCCTGCCTGGGCTTTGTGGAGAGGGGTGACATACCAACTCTACCTGCCCCACAAAAGGGTCTCCTGCTAAGAGCATCTCCTCTGTGCTGCCTTGTTCTGCCCCTGGCACTGGTTTCCCCATTGCTCTGATGTGTCACTGCACTTCAGGGTTTGTACAGTCTTCATTCCATTCATTTTCTTTTCACTCTCTTTCACAAGTGTCACCCTAGGGTGAGGACCATGTCTTCTAGAATTAGTCACTATCTTAAAGACATACCCAAGACCCATCCCATGATGGCAGGTGCCTGAATGATACCTTAGCAAGGTATACTTTCTAAGGTACAGGACTCATGGTCCTAGTGGGAGACCCAGTTGATTCATCAATAACAGTGAACAATGACAAGGTTATTCACATTTTGCCCTTGTTTAATCCTGATTATTTCTGAAGCACCAGTATGGTACCAGGAATATAACACCTCACTAACATTTGCTGATTGTTCCCTTTTCAACAAAGAGCAGGAGGCTTCAGCCTCAAAGCCTTCAGCAGGCAGGGGGATCTAGCTAGAATTTAAAATGTCTTTGTTGCCGTTATATTTCTTTTTATAGTTACCTTCTGTTAACTTCTTGAATGATGAACCTTAAACCCCCTTTCCTACCCTGCTTCAGAATAAAGGGCAAAGATAAAGCCCTATAAAAACGGATTTTGGGAGGGGAGTCCCCAGTGAAAAAGACCAGCTCGCCACTTGATTGAGCCCACTAGTCTTAGACCTCAAAGGAGGCTGCCAGTTGAGAACCTCATGCTTAAATATAAACCACTAAATGTCTCCACACATTTCTGAGAAAAGTTTACATCATTTAAGGAGAGATCCAAACAAACCAACAGGAGGAAACAGATAATAAAGGAAGCAGAAGACTTTAAAGAACAGAAAGACAAAAAGATGAGTAGGCAAAAAGATAACAAATTAGAGATCCAAAATAGAATAGGAAGTCAAAAGAGAGAGAGAAGAAACTGGTAAAAAGGAATTTACTTAAATACCAGTAGAAAAAAAGATAGAAAAATTTCCTGAATTGAAAGACATGCGTCTTGAAACGCCCCTTTAAGTATCCAGTGCAATGAATTAAAAACACCAACTTAACATTCATTGTGAAATTCCACAATACAGAGGATAAAGAGAAAATCCTAAGACTTCCAGAAAGGGGAAAAAAAGAACAGGTGTACACAAGGATTGGGAATAGGAACAAAACTTCTCAGTGGCAACATTGGAAGCCCAAAGACGGTGGGTCAATCCTGAGGGAAAACTCATTTTGACTAGTTTTACACGTGGCCAAATACTAATCAAGGAAACATAGAATAGAGATATTTTCAGAAAGCTATAGGAGGATGTATTCTACCAAAATTAGAGAAAAACAAGAGTTTTTGGGTAATTCCATGTTGACAACTGTGTGGCAAGTCCGGAGCAGCCAAACTGTTAGTTCAGGAAAGAGGAAAATAAGGACTGATAAATCAAGAAGTCTACTTTGTGTGTAAAACCATAGTAAGAGGTGCTGGAGGGTGTGGGAAGACTTGCAATGAAAACTAAGCACATTTTTAAATGAGGCAATTTTTTAAAAGGTTGTAAAAAATGAAAATGCTATTATTGTAAACTACTTGGCTCATCAAGAGTCATTGTAATAAAAATAATGAATATGTATCTTTAACAATTTGTGATATAATTATATTGGGATAATGGGAGGAAAAGAAGAGGGTGTACCCACATTAATAAGTCATCATCTGGGCCGGCCGAGTGGCTCAGTTGGTTAGGAGCTCGCTCAAGAGTGGGAGCTCTGAGCAACAACGGTTCGATTCTTGGCCCGAGCTGAGCTGCTGCTGAGCTGCCAACAGGTGGCAGGATGGCTCAGCTAATAAATAAATAAATAAATAAATAAATAAATAGTCATCATCTATCAAAAAAGTAAGTGAAGCGTGACCGGTTAGCTCAGTTAGAGCATGGTGCTGGTAACACCAAGGTTGCCGGTTCGATCCCCACATGGGCCACTGTGAGCTGTGCCCTCCTTAAAAGAGTCAACTATGCCATTGTAGCACGAAAGCAATGTGTAACCAATAACCAAGGCTGTTCCCTAATAAAATTAAAAAAAAACAACAGCAAGTCAATAAATAAAATCAAGAAAAAGTTAGAAATATGGAGGTAAATCCCCAAAGAGAGCTGAAAAATGTTGTTAGTTGCTTCTGACGGGTGAGATGGGGGCAGGAGAGGCAAGAGGTTGCTGTTTTGTTAGAAGCCTTTTAGTACTTTTGAGATTTAACTATTTATATGTATAAACTATTTACATGCAGTAACTTTAAAATACTTTTATTATGAAAATAATCAAGCACATACAAAAGTAGACAGAATAATTATACACACACCCATATATATATAAAACTTTGATTGGTTTTTAAACTAAGGGACAAGTTAAATTAGGGATCAAAATAAAAACAAACAAACAAACAAAAAGAAAGTGAATAAATTTTGGATCAGACCTACAATACAATGTTGTGCAGCTTCCTATTTGGAATAAGAAAAGGGTACAATGTCCACAATGTACTGTAAGAAGTCACAGAACTGTATGTATTTTGTGTTTGGTTACCACTGGTGGGTGTGATAAGGACTAAAGCAAAATAACAAACTTTTACACTGAGCATTTTTTTCTTTATACAAAATTCTAATAAGGATATCATAGGGACATTAAGTAAACAAATAAGGATATAGGATCAAAATCTCCTTTTCTAGTAAGTCAAGTGAAAACTGCCTTAGCTGCAATTAGGTGGGGTACCCCCCACCCCAAAAGTCAAGGGGGGCCTCTGCTGGCCTGGAGATATAGGGATGAGCTCACCCATCCAGTGCCTCTCTAGGCTGGTGTGCACTGGCCCCTGTCCACACTGGACTTTACCTCCCACTGACTGTATTCAAGGATAGGGACCCTCACCTACACATTTATCAATCTTTGCTCAATCCTACGCCCTGAACGTAGGTGTGCTGGTCTCATGTATTCACTCATGGAACCCCTTTGTACCAGCACCATGCTAGGTGCTAGGGATTCAAGCAACAGGCAGATGCAGTAACAGCTCCCTGGTCTCAGACACAATTTAGTTGGAAAAGAAGGACCCATAAACAAAGGATTACAGTCAAGTGTGTGAAGTCTAAAAGCAAAGGTGTATGTGGGGACCACAGAAGGACAGGGGAGAGATCTCCCCTGTGTGTGCCAGTGGAGACAGAGATAGCAAGCTCCCTACCAGCCTGTCTTTCAGCTTCCAGGCAGCCTGATCCTAAACTCCTGAGCTAGAGAAACACCCATGTCACTCCAATTCTGCACGGCCCCAAAGTGGGGGTGTTCTGGGGGGAAGTGAACTGGGGACGACCTAGACTGGAGAAGCTGGAGGTGCAGAGCAGGGGAATCCAGAACCATGTCTTGGGGGAGAATAGAGGTGGACCCCCCACGTTTCAAACCATCTGTGTAGCTGGGATTCTGCTGGGTGCTGGGGATAGAATTCAAGGTTCAGTCTTGAACTACCTGTACAGAAGAACTGAGGCTATTTTCTAAGTGAAAGGCTTTCTACATGTATCACCACATGAACATGGGTGGGCAAAATGTAAGTTTGGTGGGCTGCAAGAGTTCCCTGCCCTGTGGAGAGGGGGTGGGAACAACACCTTGAGATGAATACTTGCTGCTCTTCTTATCGCCTAGTGGTTAGGAACACAGCTTTCCCATTTGCTAGCTCTAATGACTCTGGGCAAGTTATTACTTAATCTCTCAGTGCCTCAATTTATTCTCCTGTAGAATAAGGATGATGATGATAGTGCCAAGTTTACAGAGTTATTGCATGGATCAGAAGAGTGGCTAACACAAAGTAAGCCCTATACAAACAAATCCTAACTATTACCATGACAAGTATGGCTTCAGGTGACATAGCTCATCATTTATTCGCTCCCATCCACACCAACATATGGTCAAACCTGGGACAAATCAGGGGAGAGGTAAGCAACCCTAAAAGGAGACGTGGGGGGAGAAAGGGGAGATGGGAGAGGATAAGGGCATTCTCTATCCTTTTGGGGCCCACAGAAACATGCTTCTAGAACGACCATGAGCTTTGGCATGTTTGGTAACCAGAGTCGTTGGGGACTTTAAGTAGATGTGCACCAAATACCAGAACGGTATGTTTTCTCAAGGCATGCTCTTGTGGTGAGGACAGTTTGCTTGAAAGTATAAAGTGACACAGACGTTCCTCTGGGATCTGGTTTCCTAACCTATAAACAAGGGCAGTGGACTAGGCTCATTTGCACTATTTTTAAAGCACCAACACTGCACCAGGCTTTATAGGTAATCTCTAGTGTCTGTTCCAGCTCTGATACACTACCATGTATTTTTAGGATCTCCGTGTTGGCAGGCACTTAAAGTGGTACAAATAGCATTGGCCCTGGAGGCAGAAGTTCTGGGCTCCAACCGGGGCGCGCCATGCACCAGGCCCTTGACCCCAAGGCACACCTTCATTCCTCAGCTATAAGGGGAGGGGACCACTACAACCCACACCTCACAGCAGCATCATGAAGATTAAATCAAGGAATGAATGTCCTGATTCCTTGCACAAGAACAAACCATTACATCCATATAATTGCTATTAAAAGAAAGTTACTCAGGAGAGCATACACAGCAGAGAAAAAAGTCACAGGCCAGGAAGAGGAAGCTCCTTGGAGGCTGAGAAGTATTTATTTATGCCTCTGCAGCCAGTACAGTGCTGGACAGGTGCTCAGGAAACACGCGTTGCATGAATGAATGCTAAAATTTCCAGGTAGGGTGGCTATAGCAATCACTGTGTCATCACTGCCTGCATGTGGGCCAGACGCTGTGCTCACAGCCTGACATCCAGGGTCTCAGTGCTCCCACCCCCACCCCTCCAATGAGGGAGATACATTATCCTCAACTTGTAGACAGGAAACTGAGGCTCAGGATAGGTGTCCCCCCACAGCCATCCAAAGGCAGGTCTAGCTTGTCTTCCCTCCAATCCTGAACACCAACCTCTGTTTAAAATTAGCAAGGCAGATGGGCTACTGCGCCTGGGCCAGCGCCGGCAACTGGAAAAATAACAGGGGTCTTCAGACTTTTACTTCTAGCCTTCTGTTTGGCCAGAACATGATGTTCTCTGAGAGAGGCCTGCTTTGATTTCTTCTCCATCTCCCCACAATACCCACACTCGGGTTCAAAATGCTGCTGGATGTGACTTCTGTAAGTTGAGACGAGCTCACGCCTCACTTCCCCTTGGGCCTCCCCTGGCAGAAGCTTCTTGCCCTGAGCGGGCGGCGGTATGCGAGGCCTAGCAAGAGTACAAGAATGGAATTCCTAGAACTGCTGTTCCCATTCCAGGGAAAGGGAGAGCATTTCACAACAGGGTCAGGGTAGGTTTGAATGCCTGTGCTCAGACACCAGCCAGCAGCCTGTGGACAAAATACTCTGGACAATTTTAAATTCAGCTTTCACCAGCTCTGTGTCTACCTGGAGGCAAATGCACAGATGTGCCAGGGTCTACTAGGGGTCTCCCCGCCTGCCCACACCCTGGGCAGGAACTGCCTGCATCTGGTAGCTTCTTTTTGCTGGGCTGTCTGTATAGCAAGCACAGCTGACTCGTCAGGGAGAAAATCTTGGTGAGAGGAGCAGAGTATGCTCAGTCTAAGACTTTTCTTTACTTCTGGCCCCACCAGCTTTGTAAACAGAACAAGGATCTGGGGGTTTCTCAGGTTCCAGGAATCTTATGAAGCTCCTCGAATACCAAATGGGGGTGTCCAGGAGTGGCAATTAGCCTTCGGGCTGGTCCCTCTCCTCAAGGCAATTCCCTTGAAGGGAATAAGGCCAGTTTATTTGAAAATGAAACAGGAGAAACAAGGCTTTTACAGAGACATTCAGAACAAAATAGCGAAATAGTTATTCCAAGGGCTGAACAAGCGCCTTTCCCTCCCCTCACTTCCCCCCAACACTTCAAAACGCCCCTGTGCAGAGCAGGCTGAGGCGACCCCTGAAATCCACTACCATTTACAGAGCAACAAATGCTGTTCCTGCAAAGGGGAGGGGTCCTGTTTTTTGTGTGAATTGTGTCCCCCTAAATTCATACATTGAAGTCCCAACCCCCAGGACCTCAATGTATTTGGAGATAAGGTCTTTAAAGAGGCCATTATGTTAAAATGAAGTCATTGGAGGTGGGGCCCTAATCCAACATGCTGGAGAGAGGGAGGAAGGGAAGGAGGGAGGGAGGGAGGGAGTAAGGGAGAGAGAGAGAGAGAGAGAGAGAGATCAGAGAGCAACAAACCACACCCACAACCACCACCACAACCGTGACCACATGAAAAAGCAGTAAGAGGGTGGCCATCTGCAAGTCAAGGACAGGGGCCCAGGAGAAACCAAACCTGACAGCATTTTGATCTTGGACTTCCAGCCTTCAAAACAGTAAGAAAATAAATTTCTATTGTTCAAGCCACCCAATCTGTGGTATTTTGTTATGGCAGCTCTAGCAAATTAATATAGGCCTGCTTTCCCCTTTTATTCTGAAGAGCAGATGAGAGGAATCTGTTTTCACACACACACTCTCTTTGAGACAAGAGACCTAGTTCTTAACCTCCACACTATACGCATCACCAGCAATTCTGAACCCACCTGCAACTCCTGGTAGTCTCACTCCTACCCAGTTTTAGACTGTTGGGCTCAAAAACTTGACCCCATCCTATTGCTAGTACTCCAGAAAATCAAGGATGTTCAAATGGGAGGGCAGGGCAAGCATGGGCTCCTCTGAAGGGTATTCCCAAAGCCCAGCCACTTGAAGGAGAAACAGAAGGTAGGCTGGGTGATGGTCAGTAAGGGGAGGCATGACACAAAGTGTGTATTGTCCAGTGGCCTGGCATCATGGCCATCTCTATAGTTTGCTTTATGGAGCTGAACATAAGGCCTTGAAAATGGGGCATGGGATCTATGACTCAACGTTTTCAGGAAAATGTCCTCTGTTTTGAAACCAATAGCTGCTTCACAGGCTTTTGATTCCGATCTGCTTCTATGCCTGGCCTTGGCTCTGCTGGCCAGTTAAGTTCCCTCACAGGGCTATTTAAGCCATATGGAAAATGGTCTGAAAACATGGCCCCCAGAACTCTTCCCATCCCTGTTCGTACATGTGGCTTCCCTCATTCAAAGGCAGTTATTTCCCCTTCTCTTTGAATCTGGGCTAGCCTTGGGTCTTGCTTTGACCAATAGAATATAGTATAAGTAATATATATATATTTTTTTGTTCTTCAGTCTAATTGTGGAGGACGTTGCTTCACTGGCCCAAGTTGGCACCATCGTTGCACTCTTCCCGGGTGAGGCAGATCAGTCGCTGGCTTCTGGACGCTGGTAACGGCGGCTGCTGGCTACACACGGTAGCCCATTGCAACACACTGCAGCAGGGGCTGCAGCCTACGCCATCGCTGGGCAACTCACGGCAGCCCAGCTCCAGGTTGAGCTGTTGTTCAGCATCTTAGCTGTAGAGGGCAGTGTCGCTGGCCCTCATATGTGGGATCCGAACCGGAGCCTTCTGGTGTCCCAAGCCAGCTCTTAACCCATGCACCACTCGGCTGATCCTATAGTATAAGTAATATTATGTGACTTCTGAGCCTGGGCCTTAAGAGGTCCTGAAAACGGCCATGTAAATAAGCTCAGGTTAGACTCTTGAATTGTACGTGTGACACCAAGAGGACAGAGAGAGTTCCCAGCCTTCCAGGTATCCCCAGCAATGCCCCAGATATGTGGGTAAGGCCATCTTGGACCTTCTAGCCCAAGGCAATCCAGCTGCTAACTGTATGCAGCCAGATGAGTGAGCCCAGGAAAGATCATCAAGAAATGCCCAAACAGCAATAAGAATGGAGAGAAACAATAGCTTGCTGTTGTTTAAGTTACTAGTTTTGTGATGGCTTTATATGGCAATAGCTAACTGATACAGCCATTCTCATCAAGACAAGTATCTCCAGGCAGCTGGCAAGCCCTGATATTCAGGGCCTGGTCTCTGAGCTCTCTCAGTGAAATTTCATGGGCATTGACACTGGATTACAAGGCACCTTTTTTTGCCCATGTCCTTGAGCACCCAAATGCCATGGCAGATGTCATCTATTCCTGCGTAGTCAGTAATGCTGGGTGTAAACAAGTAAATAAGGAGTATCAATCCCAGTGTCTGAGACCCTGGCCCCAATACTAACTTGTTCAGTATAAAAATATCACTTCCTTCTACTTTCTGCTCAACAGAGAAAAGTGATATCAGTAATGCTGTTATTGGTAATACTGGAATAAGTGGGAAATTTCAGAGAAAGTTAGTTTCTGCCCCTGGGACATCCCAAGATAAACAATTATACCCTGCAACTGAAAGGACAGAAAAGATAATTTAAATGCTATCATGAAGCCAGCCCAGACCCAGACCTGGTGATAAAAACAAACAAACAAACAAACAAACAAACAAACAAACAAACAAAACAAAAACTAAGTTACTCTGATAGTGCTTTCATTCCAGGATTCTTTTCAACCCTTCACCTTCTAATCACCAGACCTGGCACTTAATCCTGGAGATACAAAGATGAGTAAGACTGCTTTGAAAGAACTTCCTGGCTAACCTAGGGAACACACATGTAAACAAATACACGTGATTCATTTGTTATGAATCATAATAGAGGAAGAACACTGGCACAGATCTAGGTAAGACCAGGAAGTAACAGATTTTTCGTTTGTTTGAACACAAGAATATATGTGTACAAATGAACAATTTTTGTTAAAAACTTTCACCTTGGGAAGCAATCCTTTTTTCAATACTGCTGCCCTTTCCTAGGAATGACATCAAATAAAGTCCCATATAAGAAAACGCCTCACTACCAACAGATAAGTACGGTACCACCCTGCCTGCCCTTTTACCAAATTTTGTAATAAACGGCTTTTTTGCTCTTTCAGGAAAAAAAAAAAAGAATCAAACTCCCTTTCAAATCATAAGGCTCTGCCACCTTTGAGGATATTGAAAAAAATTTATAATTTTCTGAATGCAATTAAAATTTAACAGCTATGTCTGCTTTGTTAGAATGTGAGGCCTACCAGGTTACTCAGAATGGGTAATTCTCACTTGAGTATCATACAAGTTCTACTAGTTACAGGGGGCAGGGTTGTGTGTGTGTCTGTCTAATTGCTTTACTCTATAGATACAACTTTGATGCTTATAATTCTATTTCAGGTGTGTCTTCATCTTCCTCAACTAGTAATCCAAGCCTTGGGGTCAGACTGACTTCCAGATCTGGATGTGGTGAATGCTTTAAAAATAGGGAGGCTCGTGGGCATTGGAGGGAGTTTGGGGTGCTCTACACCAGGGCCCCCATCAAAGTCTTGCTCAGAGCTCAAACTCTTGAGCGAGCTCTTAACCAACTGAGCCACTCGGCCGGCCCCCCATCAAAGTCTTTAATGAGGGATACAGTGTGAAATGTTCTAAATGCTTTAAGAGGAAGCTCAGATCAGTATAAAAAGAGGCCCACTGTAGTTCCCTCAGTGCTTTAATGGCCTAGTCCTTTTAACCTGTTCTTAATAATGAGACGTAGTCTCCCATACTTGACTAAGGCCTCGGGACACTGGCTGTGTTCTAGCTTCAGTGCCCGGCAACCTCCCCCTCTTCCCGGCATTGTCTGTTCCATAGCCAAACACTTGGGAGCTGCTCCAAGGTAAGCTTCCTGGGCATAGACTTTGTTTGTCTAACCAAACAGGGTGCCATTAACACCTGTAGCCCTACCTGCTTACCTCTGATTAACCTTATCCAAGCACGAGGCTAAGGTATGACTACCACCCAAGCAACCTCTGTAGGCTTTGGGGTCAAACATCCAACATGGAGGTTGGTGGGGGGTGGGGCGGAGCAGAGGAAGGTTTCTGACCCATTTAAAGGTTCTGCTAGTTTATAGTGTCATTAGAGATTTTCAAGACTCTATGGACTCAAATATTCATAAATGGCACTCCCTTCAGCAAATTTCTCTAATGTTTTCCAGGCATATAACTTCAGATCATGGAGATGGCTCAAATCAACTGCTGTTCCTTTTCCTCCAGGGACAAACACTGCAGTGCCATTCACAGCAAGAGTGACTGCTGGCCACTTACTTCAACAGCTCCTGACACCTCCTGCAAATGAGTGGGAGCACCCATGCAAACTCTCTCGCCAGACCCTGGTTTAAAAGATGGATGCCAAACCCAATCTCAAGAGAAGCATCCTTTTTTTTTTTTATCAGGCCCCAAAGGTATGAAAAGGTGAGGGAAGTCACATTTCAAGACCCCCAGTGGATGCCTGAAACCACGGATAGTACCAAACCCTGTGACTAACGGGCATATAGCAAGACATAGTAGATATGCCGGACAGGGGGATAATTCACTGCCCAGGTGGTAGAAGGGTGGCACAATATTTCATCATGCTAACTCAGTTTAAAACTTATGAATTGTTTATTTCTGGAATTTTCCATTTACTCTTTCAAACCATGGGCAATAAACTGAGGAATGCAAAAACCATGGATAAAGGGGGGACTACTGTGCTCAGAGTGTGGTATTTAGACCAATCACTGGGAGCTAGTTAGAAATGCAAAATCTCAGGCTCTACCCCAGAACCTACAAAATCAGAATCTACATGTAAAAGAGGTCTCCAGGCAATTCATATGCACATTGAAGACTGAGAAAAAGCACTCCAGAGTGGAGCAAAAGGGCACCAGGAATGACCTTTTCTCATTAGGTGAAACTTCTCTGCCCTGGCAAAGGGTAGGGTAAAAGGGTTTTGGAGGAAGATTTCACACCTTGGCTAACTGAAGCAGACCAGGTTTGCTAACTGAGGCACAGACAAGGCAGGATTTTCTGGTTATGGACTGTGAGCTGTATCTTAGCCACTGGACACCCCAGACAAGAAAGACCTGGCTTTACAGGCCACTGCTAGATTTCTCCCAGTTGGCCTCCCAAACTACGTTACACTATGATGCAGAAGTCCCTTCCCCTCTCTCCAACTAAAGGCCTTCAATGAGAGGAGAATTTGCTGTGGTCTGCCAAAAACCACCCATTTCCCAGTTCAAAGTGGGAAGTGGAGAGTTCCCTATAAAGGGTATCTCTGGGTATTGCTTCCAATTTGATCTGTCCCCATTTAGCAACAAAAGGTGCAAAAGAGGGCTTCCTGAGTCTTCAGGCCTACCTCAGTACCCACTCTGAACAGATCAAGCAGAGACTCTCGCACCCTGGCTTGAAGGAACCCCTAAATTGTCAGGAAAGGTCATGGCAGACACACCATGAGGGCAGAAGAAGCAGAACAGTGTGGACTACATAAAGGCCAGCCAAGAAAGAAAATCTGAGTCAAGAATGGGAAGAAGAGTAGCTGGGAACTTTCTTCAGGTCATTTTTTTTTTTTTAAAGATTTTTTATTGGGGAATTGCGGGGAGGGGAACAGCGCTGGGGAATTGGGGGAAGGGGAACAGACAAGTTGCTGTCGTTTTGTTCTTCAATCTAGTTGTGGAGGTCGTTGCTTCACTGGCCCAAGCTGGCACCATCATTGTGCTCTTCTCTGGCGAGGCAGATCAGTCGCCGGCTTCTGGACGGCCGCTCACTGCGGCTGCTGGCTACATGCGGTAGCCCATGGCAACCCACTGCCACAAGGACTGCAGCCTACGCCGCCGCCGGCGACTCACGGCAGCCCAGCTCCAGGTTGAGCTGTTGTTCAGCATCTTAGCTGTGGAGGGCAGTGTCACTGGCCCTCCTATGTGGGATCCGAACCGGGGCCCTCTGGCATCCCAAGCGAGTTCTTAACCATCGCGCCACTCGGCCGGCCCAGGTCATTTTTAATAGGGGAGAGAGCAGTTCTCTCTCTGCTTGGTTGCTATTTTTGGTCCAGTTTTGGGGAAAACAGTGTGACACTGGACAATGGACACGTACATTTAAGTTTTGGGGCCTCAGTGTCATGTTCTGTAGAATAAGGCTGCACTGCTGGACAAGAACATCGAAGACCCCTAATAATTCTAACTTTGTATGTTTTGGATCAAACAGCCGAAGACCTTGGAGCTGGCTGTGCTCATTGGTGGTGCGGCAGCTGCCTGAGAAAAGAAGCATGTGGCCCCTCGATGCTGGCCGTGAGGCTGAGCGCCGCCTGCGTCGGGCACGCACCGGTGTCTCTCAGCGCAGCCCCAGGATCTGCGGCTTTTTCAAGTAGTTTGGACAGGAGCGGTGCAGGCGGGTGTAGGGGAGGGCAACAGGCGGTGAGGGCAGTCAGAGGATGAGAGGGAAGTGGTGAGCCGCGAGGAGGATTTCATTATGCAAACAGACGGGCAGGTTTCATCAGCGCCTGTGCGCCACGGCTCCAGGGCTGGGAGGGAATGCCTGGCTTCCGAGGGCAACCCAACGCTGGCCCGCCACCGGTGCCAGCTCAGCTTCCTCTTCCTCATCCACTCTGAGGGAGGTCACACGGTCCCCCCTCCCCCCGAACAGAGGAACGTGCTTTTCTGCACAGCACTGCTCGCCGCCCCACGTCCCTCGGTGGAGATCCCACAAGCCTAAATGGGCAACCTGCCACAGGTGCCGGCGAGGCGCTGCTGGAACAGGCGAACACCCTCAGCCCAGAACCTCCGTCAGGGGGTGCATGCCCGACGCAAAACTGGGGGGTAACTCGCAAAGAAAAAAGGACTCTACAAGAGTCATTTATCCCAACAGAGAATGCCCGTCCCATCCTCTAAAAAACCCGGCCAAGCCTCTTCTTGATCCGTGGGCCACCCAGACACCACCGTATTCCGCCTCAGAACTGCCCCCCAACACCACGAGAGGCGGCACGCCTCGGCATGTGGCAGTCCTGGAAGCGTGTGCATCTGTTTGGGTGGGAGGCACTCAGCTGTCTCTCAGACCAGGAGGAAACTAATGCGGCAGTTTGCAACCCGGCGCTGGAGGACGCACCCAGAGGGCAGGCAACGGGAGGTGGCCACCTCCGTGACCCTCGCTGCCTCCCTGAATCGCCTTACCAGTTCTTCCCAGTCACCGCGCCCCTGAACCTGGCTGCCCAGTTCAATGGGCGATGCCGATCACCCCGATCTGCCCAGTCCGTCCTCCCCACCGCCCGCACCGGGAGCCTCCGAGACGCCCCTACCTCCCGGGGTGGTGCTGAAGAGCGTGCCGCCGGGGGTGGTACTGTAGTCTCCGGGCGGCAGCTGCACGCCGTCACTGAGGACCACCCGGCGAGTGGCGGGAATGGCCCGGCTAGGGGTCTGGCTGCAGCTGCTGCCCCCGGACATGGTCTCCCGCGCGCAGCGCCTGCAGCCGGAGCGTGGTCCTCCCGCCCCTCCTGCCTTGCTCCGCCTCGCTCCCGCGGGCCCCGCCTAAGACCGTCCCTTCCGCCTTGTCCCTCGACGCCCCTTGGGATTTGTAGTTCCTGCGATGCCACCGCTCACCTACCTCGGAGCTGCTGCTTCCACGTGAGGTCTTCTGTATCCCTGGATGGAAGGCCCCTTATCCTGAGCGCCCGTGCCAGCGCCGCCCCACTTTTGCTTGTCCCTTTTGCTCCCGGGTCCTTCCGGGCCACGAGGGCAGGGACAAAGTGGACGTGGGGAGTCGGGAGGCTTGCCTAAATTAATGCCTCGCTGGGTCCGACGGGGCCCTTCTCCAGGTTGTATGGGGATCCTAGCGCACCGGAGGACTCGGGAAGGCCTGCATTAGGACATCAGGCCGGATGTTCCCCACAACCCTCCCTGTTCCGTGTTTTAGTTTCTCAGATGAGAAAGTCGGGGGTTGACTGGTCATTCACCTCTTGTTTGGTTTATTGAGCATTTACAATGTGGCAGGAGTTGAAGAAATGGCCAAGAATTCTCATTCCACGGTTTGTGTGGGAGGACACGTGAATAAACCACTCAGCTGGGTGATAGGGCTAAACCTAGAGCAGATGGAGGCTGGGGTTGAGGGAGAGGTTAGGGTTGATCAAAGAAGGTTCCTAATAGTCCTTTGTTATGGGTTCAACGCCCCACAGGCTGCCTCACATTTAGTAGCACTCCTTGAGTGGATGAGACAATGAATCTTCAAGGAGATCCCCTAAGGGGAGAGAAAAAAAAAATGCAAGGAGATGGAAAAGCCTGCTGAGTAACCCAGCAGTTTCTGTCATTGTGGCCACATCTTGGAAAGGGAGAGGAGAGAACACTTTAAACGGAAAATGGGGGTAGGATTGTGAAGGGCTTCTTAAATCATGCCAGGGTGTTCAGACTTTGTCCTACAAGGGCAGACGATATCAGACATCTTTTAAGCTGGGAAGTGGCACTATTAGTGTTATTTTTTAGAAAGATAACTAACTGATAGCCATAGAGTTTGAGAATGGAACACAGGAGGCCTGAGGTAGGTCACTCCTGAGCTAACCTCTAGGCCTACACTGTCTAGTAAGGTAGCCACTGGCCACACGTGCCTGTGAAGTACTTGACATACGGCCAGTCCATATTCACAAGTATAAAATACACATAGATTAAAAAATTTAGTGCAAAAAGGTATGTAAAATATCTTAATAATTTGTTTTATATTGATTACATTTTGAATTAATATTTTGAAATATTGGGTTAAGTGAAATCTATTATTAAAATTAATTTCACCTGTTTCTGTTTACTTTCTTAGCGGGACTATAAGAAGTATATATATAGGGCTGGCCAAGAGGCATAGTTGGTTAAAAGTTGACTTGGGACACCAGCTCTGAGCAGCAAGGCCTGGGTTCAAATCCCACATGAGGGCCAGTGATGCTGCGCCCTCTACAGCTAAGATGGTGAACAACAGCTCGACCTGGAGCCGGGCTGCTATTAGTCGTGCTCGACCGAGTAGGCTCCAGCCTCTGCTGCAGTGGGCTGCCGTAAGCTACCATGAGTGGCTGGCTGCCAGTGTGAGAGGCCAGCAGCCGGGCGTGAGCTGCCATGAGCCGCTGTGAGCCACCGTGAGCCACTGTGAACCGCCGTGAGTGTCTGTCCAATGGCCGTCGAGCGACTGCCTCACCCGGGAAGAGCTCAATGATAATACCAACATGGGCCAGTGAAGCAACGTCCTCCACAACTAGACTGAAAAACAAAAGGACAGCAACTTGTCTGTTCCCCTCCCCCAATTCCCCAATAAAATCTTTAAAAAAAGAGCATATATATATAGATATATATATATATATATATATATATATCTCATAATATATTCCTATTGGATCGCGCTGCTGTAGAATGAGGTGGTATGAAAGCAATCTTAAAGTTTTTCTCAGAACCTTTCAAAAAACTATGGAATCATCAAATTTTAGGTCTGGCCAGGTAACTTATATGTCATTCAGGACCATATTCATCTCCATCTTATTAAAAAAAAAACCAAAAACAGGGCCCTTGAGCCATTGCTTTCTGCTCAGGCTCGCTTCTATTTCTCTGAAGTGTACTTTTTCTTCTAATAAACTGCTCTTTTACTACTTAAAAAAAATAAAATAAAAAATAAACAAAAACGAAAAAACCTGAGGTCCAGACAGGAACAGGGTTTTATCCAAGAACACACAGCAGTGAAATGCCTGAGGCAGGACTAGAACCAAGTCTCACCATCCTTCCAGGCCAACCCTTTTCTCATCATACAAGAAAACAAAGCACTCATCCTCTCCCCGCACCCCTTGGGGAGGAACTGTTTTGAAAGGGGATTTGGTCTGGTGCCTCATTGGACTTGCATGTTTGGTTAGCTGAAAAGGGAAGGGGCCTGCGTAGAAAGCTCAACACCTGCAATGACCCCTGCTCATAGGGCTATGGAGGGCTGATGAGGGAAGTCTAACGGCTTTGGGGGAGCCAGAGGACTGAGGGCTGACTAGACCTGGGGTCCCTTGTGGATATAGAAGGAGCACTAGCCTGGGCTGAGGGGTGTGGGTTCTAGCTCCAGCGCTGCCACTAAATAGCTGTTCAGTCTTAGACAAGTCCTTCCCCTTTCTGGGCCTCAGTTTCATGATCTGTCAGATGAGGGGGGTTGCTTTGAAGATCTCTGAGAACCCTCAGCAGTGACATTTTATGTCTTTGACAAACTCATTGCTGAATTCTGTTTCCTGCCCAGCCATTTCACCTATGGTGGTTTCTACCTCTTCATAGAGCAGGGACTCATTCATATCAAGTCTTATAATCAAGTATCAGCTCCTATAAGGCAGGGACATGATGAGAGTTGTCTTTTAAAAAGATAACTGGTGGCACCAGTGGCATGTGTTTACTTTCTCACTCTTGACAGCACTCACCTTAGAGGGTCCATTGATAATATTATACGTCTGGGTGCTCAGCTGCCCAAAGCCAAGCATGTTTATTTCTGTCTTCCCTTCAAAGCTCTTTTAAATCTATTCGCTTATGACTGTCCTAGCACTTCTAGCTGGAGGTCAAAATAAAGAAAGCAGAATGTGGCAACGAATGTTTTCTAGAAGAAAGATGAGGAGGACACATTGTGGAGAACAGTTTCCATCCCATCTTGCTCTACTTGACTTGTAGGAAGAGAGGGACACGGGACTGATTTTATCATTTTAAGTACAATTTCTCTGGATCGCCAACCAGGCACACAGGCCCAGACCTTCTGGTATGAAATGCTTCGTGAAGTTAACAAAAAATATCAGTGGCAACAAAGAACAGCCTTAAGCAGGCTCTGGCCCTTCCCCGGCGTTTGTCTCAACACAGATCTGCTGAACGGGACCCGTGGGAAGAAGTGCCAAGAGAGGGTCCCTAGGAGTGTCTGTCTGGGGGGGAAGTAGCAGGAGCTGTAAGAGTGAGAGATGCTTCCAGGTTCACTGAGTCACACTGAGGTAGAGACTGACTTCCAGAGCCCCTTAGGCTAGGGAGGGGGTGGGGGCCGGGTAGTGGGAGTAGAGGGAAAGAAGTGACCTGGCATGTCACTTCTTTCCTAATGTTATTTGGTGCCGAAAATGTTCCCCCTTCTGCACTGGGAGTCCTTCACATTAGCCAGCATGTCCTGTCACCATGGCTCCAGTGGACCTTGGAGGCTCCTGTACTTTCTTGTATGATAAGGGATCCTGGGCTCTTCTATACTTCCTGCCCCAGGTATAGATTCAGCCTTGCTTCTGGAGCTGTTTCCATTGCAGATGGCTTTGCAGTATCCCTGCATGCAATCGTGCTCTCCTTCATTGATAGGCACACAGGCCTGGTCTTTCTGGTAGGAAATGCTTTTAAGGTTAATCGATATGATTGGAATGTAGACTAGCCCTGAGCAGACTTGGAGGGGCCTGGTGGGGTTGGTGAATGGCTTCGTGGTCCTTGTCCATCCTGATCCTGTTTAACATGTTTGTCTCCTTACTATCTCTCTCTCTCTCTCTCTCTCTCTCTCTCTCTCTCTCTCTCTCCCCCCTTCTCTCTCCCTCTCTCTCTCTCTCTCCTATTTTGTGTTTTTGCTTAGCCCTGCTTACAAACCCAAACTGTTGGCTGATGAATACCTCCATGCTGTGCAGTCTGGCCTTCCAACATTCAGCCACTTGGTGCTCATCTGTGGTGACACCATGACTTTCAGTTCTGCTTTGCTTCCCATAAACTCAATGGCAAGGCTATTTCTCATAGTAAGAGCTCTTTCTTTTCAACCAAAGCCTGTTATTCTCTAGTTAATGGAGAATCTGCCTGTTTTTCTTAACATATTTTTCTTTTTATTTAAATGATTGAATCTTGATCTGGGGCAGAAAGTATAGGAAGCCTTTATCATACAAGAAAGAAAGCACAGGAGCCTCTAAAGGTCATGGAGCCATGGCGACAGGACACACAGCTAACATGGAGGACTCTCAATGGTGGATTCAACATTTTAATATGGTTCCTGGGCTCAAGGTTTTATGAAAAATGTTAGTGGCTTAGAGCAGGGTCTGCAATCTTTACCTGGACCGCAAGAGCATGTTCTGGAGTGGCCACGAGGTGATTTACCTGGGGTAGCCCTCCTGTGGATGGCCCTAGATGTGTCCACCTAAGATGGGGCTGGCCACTCATGCTTAGAAAGTATTGCTGGAGAGTGAAACAGCAAAGAGAGTCTTTGGTGGCAATTGAAAAACAGTGACACTGTGGTCACCAGGGACCAGCAGGAGACCAGCAACTCGGACCTAACCAGCCTTCATGGACGGTCAGTCAGGGTCATTCAAATTGGGTAATTTGAGGATGTTTACTAAAGGAACAATTTACAAAGGTGTGGGCAGGATGTAGGGAAACTGTGGTACCTGGAGCAGAGACTGGGACTGAAGAATCAAAGGGGAAGCATTGTTACTGGAATCCAGACAGAGAGAGAGAGAGAGAGAAAGCTGTGTGGAGAGGCACTGTACAGAGCTGACACCTCCAGTCCTGGTGTGCACCGGGAGGAAGCCAGGAAGTAGAAAATCACTCCTTGCTGGGCTTCTGCCCTCTGCTCTCCTGCCTGTCTCCCTGGTGGCTTAATCCAGCTAGAGGACAAAGGACAAGGCATCCCATTGATGCTGCCCTATAGGCCAACTTCCTGGGGCACAGAGGAGGGCGGAAAAGGGTGGAGAGTGAATCTAAAGGGGCAACAGAAGATCCCAGTGGCAGAGAGGAAAAACAGGATGGGGTGGGGGTGTGAAGCAGTCCAGAACAAATCCTGGCCCTGAGCAGATCTGCACATGCGCAGGTAGAGTGTTGAGCCTCACAACACACATTCTTCTTGCTTTGGGGTGAGTGAGGGCTGTGACCCATGTCCACAATTTTGTTATGCACAAGGTGAGGAGTCAAGTCAAAGTCCTCAGTCCTCAAATGTTCTTCCCCACCCCCCCAAAGGTTGATGCCTGAAATTCTTCCATTTTAGTTTTTTGTTTGAGCTAAAAGGTTCGGCCAATTATAAACTGATATTCATGACCTACAAGTAAGAAAGAAAGAAAATGAACACTTCCTGAGTTTCTCCTCTGCCTGCACAAGAGGTTTGACTGACAAAATCACTTAAATCACACCACAACCTTATAAGACAAATGTTATTATCTGCATTTCACACATGAGGAAAATGAGTGGGGGTAAGGGATTAGCCTGCCCATACTCAAAGCCCAAATTTAAATATTTTTATAACCTGCTTAGTCCAAAGCCCATACATTTTATCACCCTGGTTACTCCCAAACTTCGGGGTGCTTCATATTTGCTGAGGAGCTTGTGAAATAGGTGGGATTTTTATCTGAGAGCAAGCTTTAATGTGAAGAGGCGGGGAAAGTCATCCCAAAGAAGAAGAAAGGAAGGCAAAGATGGTGTCTTTGTCTGCTTGGCTTGCTATAATAAAATCCTACAGACTGGGTGGCTTGTAGAACAGACATTGATTTCTCAGTTCTGGAGGGAGGGAAGTCCAAGATCGAGATGCTGGTGGATTTAGTTCCTGGTGAGGACCTAGGTTGCAGGGGTTAATTCGCGCTGTGTCCTCACATAGTAGAAAGATAGGGTTCTGGTCTCTTTTCTTATAAGGACACCAATACTATCATGGAGATCCCGCCCTCATGAACTCATCTAACCCTAAATACCTTCCAAAGGCCCCACCCAC